ACTGTTGGACTAATGATTACACCCTATATCAGCTAGATGCAGGCAATAGTGTGCAAGGAGGTATTGAATGTCACTGTCTGTCACCTCAAATTTTTCTCTCGACCTGTGTGCACCTACATTGTAAACTATCATTCATAGGCTAGGTTGTAGCATGATGGGTATAGGGAAAATGTGATTATCATGTAGTAGCCTAAACCTATTGATGTAACATTGAACTGGGTGAATTGAATATGAATGACAGTCATCCAATATGCTGTAATAGAAAAAATACTCCCTCATCTTAAACGGCACTGACCGCCACTGATATTAACCTATATGTAAAAATGAACTACATAACTACCCCAGATGTGAGACATTTAAAACAATAAACTGTCACCCAGATGAAGAATGAGTGTGATCCAGCTAACGGGGGTTCCCCCTCATTAAAAATCTTAATTAGCACATCAGTGCTTCATCATGTAAACAATGCACAGCGCTAACTGATATGAACCTGGTGTGTGTGTGTGTGTGTGTGTGTGTGTGTGTGTGTGTGTGTGTGTGTGTGTGTGTGTGTGTGTGTGTGTGTGTGTGTGTGTGCGTGTGTGTGTGTGTGTGTGTGCATGCACGTGCGTGTGTGTGTGGCTGAGAATAATGAACAATAGGCACATACAGCAAGTAGCCTTGGAAAACACAGAAACAGTAGTCCTGGCACATACAGTGGAGAGAACAAGTATTTGATACACTGCCGATTTTGCAGGTTTTCCTACTTACAAAGCATGTAGAGGTCTGTAATTTTTATCATAGGTACACTTCAACTGTGAGAGACGGAATCTAAAAAAAAATCCAGAAAATCACATTGTATGATTTTTAAGTAATTAATCTGCATTTTATTGCATGACATAAGTATTTGATACATCAGAAAAGCAGAACTTAATATTTGGTACAGAAACCTTTGTTTGCAATTACAGAGATCATACGTTTCCTGTAGGTCTTGACCAGGTTTGCACACACTGCAGCAGGGATTTTGGCCCACTCCTCCATACAGACCTTCTCCAGATCCTTCAGGTTTCGGGGCTGTCGCTGGGCAATACGGACTTTCAGCTCCCTCCAAAGATTTTCTATTGGGTTCAGGTCTGGAGACTGGCTAGGCCACTCCAGGACCTTGAGATGCTTCTTACGGAGCCACTCCTTAGTTGCCCTGGCCGTGTGTTTCGGGTCGTTGTCATGCTGGAAGACCCAGCCACGACCCATCTTCAATGCTCTTACTGAGGGAAGAAGGTTGTTGGCCAAGATCTCGCGATACATGGCCCCATCCATCCTCCCCTCAATACGGTGCAGTCGTCCTGTCCCCTTTGCAGAAAAGCATCCCCAAAGAATGATGTTTCCACCTCCATGCTTCACGGTTGGGATGGTGTTCTTGGGGTTGTACTCATCCTTCTTCTTCCTCCAAACACAGCGAGTGGAGTTTAGACCAAAAAGCTATATTTCTGTCTCATCAGACCACATGACCTTCTCCCATTCCTCCTCTGGATCATCCAGATGAACTACAGACGGGCCTGGACATGCGCTGGCTTGAGCAGGGGGACCTTGCGTGCGCTGCAGGATTTTAATCCATGACGGCGTAGTGTGTTACTAATGGTTTTCTTTGAGACTGTGGTCCCAGCTCTTTTCAGGTCATTGACCAGGTCCTGCCGTGTAGTTCTGGGCTGATCCCTCACCTTCCTCATGATCATTGATGCCCCACTAGGTGAGATCTTGCATGGAGCCCCAGACTGAGGGTGATTGACCGTCATCTTGAACTTCTTCTATTTTCTAATAATTGCGCCAACAGTTGTTGCCTTCTCACCAAGCTGCTTGCCTATTGTCCTGTAGCCCATCCCAGCCTTGTACAGGTCTACAATTTTATCCCTGATGTCCTTACACAGCTCTCTAGTCTTTGCCATTGTGGAGAGGTTGGAGTCTGTTTGATTGAGTGTGTGGACAGGTGTTTTTTATACAGGTAACGAGTTCAAACAGGTGCAGTTAATACAGGTAATGAGTGGAGAACAGTAGGGCTTCTTAAAGAAAAACTAACAGGTCTGTGAGAGCCGGAATTCTTACTGGTTCGTAGGTGATCAAATACTTATGTCATGCAATAAAATGCAAATTAATTACTTAAAAATCATACAATGCGATTTTCTGGATTTTTGTTTTAGATTCCATCTCTCACAGTTGAAGTGTAAAAATTACAGACCTCTACATGCTTTGTAAGTAGGAAAACCTGCAAAATCGGCAGTGTATCAAATACTTGTTCTCCCCACTGTAAATACAGTATTCTGAGTGTTTGCTATTGTATAGATATAATACAAGTAGAAAGTTGCATGAAGATATATGCAACCTTATATTGTGTTAATTTCATGAACATGAACTGCATCATCACAGGTCCATACAGTGGCATTCAACGACATATTTACCATTTTGAAATGACAAACCACTGGCAATATGTGAACCCAACTCTTCTCTAAATTGGACACTATAATATAAATAATAATATGCCATTTAGCAGACGCTTTTAACCAAAGCGACTTACAGTCATGTGTGCATACATTTTTACGTATGGGTGGTCCCGGGGATCAAACCCACGACCCTGGCATTACAAGTGCCATGCTCTACCAATTGAGCTACAGAGGACCACACTACAGCAATAAAGGCCAGAAAACACAGTTCAAACAGTATTGACAATTATTATATTATGGAATATCATAATTTAGATGTATGCTCTAGTTTTGGTACATTATGTTTAAATAACCAGCCTTGTGTGTCTTTTCATCACACATAATGCATAAGCAGCCTTAAGGCATCATTGTTATAGAGGCCAGATCCATTTCTGTATCCATGGATACAAGGGGAATCATCTATTTATTTTGCTTTCAGCATTTCCTTGTGCATGCAACAGGACTAGTGAACAGTATACCAGCAAGTGTCTAAAACTCTTTGGCCAAGTATAATAAAAGGTTCATATAGAGCCCCACATTGGAGGTCTCATAATACCCATAAAACCTGGTGGTCAAACAGGGAAATGGTTCCAATTGTTTTTCCACCATTCATTTTTCCCATACAGAGTTTTAGAAATAAGGGCTGTGGCCTCCCGAGTGGCGCAGCAATCTAAGGCACTGCATCGCAGTGTTTCGGCGTCACTACAGCCTGGGGTTCGAACCTTTGCCTCAATTCAGCAGTCTCGTCCAGCTCATCATGGCATTTGTAGTTCTTTATGATAGCCACATTAGCAGCTAATTAGCATTTCAGTTTTGGGGGTAAATACAGGCAAATATATTGTTAAAAGTCACCTTGTTCTACATTTTATTTTATTTTATTAGGATCTCTTTTAGTCCTCATTTGGACTAATTTTCCAAGGTTCCTTAAACATTAAAATACAATTTACAATACAATCACATTTTCACATATAACACACTGTTACAAACAACAGACATAATACACTGACATATTGACCAGACAAATACTCTAACAGTCTGAAAAGATAGATTGATTCCTTCATCTACCATATTCCTGCAAAACCTTTCAATGTATTATATTTTAATGGTTCTAAAGTATTGTTTGAATTTACATATTGAAATGTTTCTGGTTTGCTCAGATAAATTATTCAATTTCTTTATTGCTCTAAATCGAAATGTTATTTTGCCGATTTCTTTTTTCTGCCGGGATAACACGTAGATGGTGTCCTAGAGAGATTTACATGGTCATCAAAACTTCCCGATAACAAACTTGAATAATGAAAACATTCTTGGCAAATGCTTTCGCTTTCGTCCGTCTTATTTGATGAAAATGTTTAAGCCTACACAAAACACAGCCCTTACTTTAAGTGTTTCTAAAATCCCCTATAGGAAACATTTCCTTGTTTGACCGCTATGTTTTATGGGTATTCTAAAAACTATTGGACGCTAAATCCGGAGATATTACGGACCATGTAAAAAACTGTTGGTCACTAAATCCGGCTAGAAGGACCACATAAAAACAGTTGGCTGGTATGCCCTCACCCGTCTGAGCGGTCGGCTGTGAATGCTCTCACCCGCTATATACTTATAACTGATTGGTTTGGTTCTGTCCTCTATAGTGCTGTCCGGTTAGAACATGATGTTGAGGCCCATCGCTGTACTCTTGATAGTCACCACCACACACACACATATACACAGCTGTTTCCTTTGAAAATGTTTATATGATTTTGGTCATTCGAATGACTTGGAATCTTATTGTTGTGGTTCTATAAGACAAAGATATGCACACTGTCACGGCTTCTGCCGAGGCTGCCTCTCCTCCTTGTTCGGGCAGGCTTCGGCGTTCGTCGTCACCGGCTTACTAGCCACTGCCGCTCCATATATCATCATTCCATTTGTCTTGTCTTGTCAATTACACACACCTGGTTCATATCCCCTCATTAGTCCATGTATAAGTGTTCCCGCTGCCCCCTTGTCCTTGTGGGTGATTGTTTTATGTGAGTTGAGTGTAGCTCGGTGGAGCTACTCGTACCTTGTATTGCCGGGGTAGATTGTTCCCCTGTGCCTGCCTGCCCGCTCGCTTGCTCGCTTGCTTGCTTGCCGTGGTCCTCTGTTGCTCAATTGGTAGAGCATGGCGCTTGTAACGGCAGGGTAGTGGGTTTGATCCCCGGGACCACCCATACGTAAAAATGTATGCACACATGACTGTAAGTCGCTTTGGATAAAAGCGTCTGCTAAATGGCATATTATTATGTCTCTCTGTCTGCCTGCCTGCTTGCATGTCTGTCCCTCCTTTTGACAGCATCACAAAACAGCATATTCTCAAATGAACCGCAGAGACCTGCCCACCTGACTAATTTAGCTTGAAGTATAGCCACCTTTCTGCCTCTCTTGGTATGGATATATGGGTAATTTGGTAGAGTCCTCTTGGCATAACAGTTTTAAGGATATTATGTCAATTGAGGTGGAGCTAACTACACCCCCACGGCATTGTCGGCTCCTCTCTAGATTAGTCACGGGCCACGGTTAATGTTCTCTTGGGCCTCCGTAACGAAACGCCACAGATATAAAAGCGCACCTGGTGACGTCTTGTTGCCAAAGGAGAACAGGCAAGGGGAACGATTTGGTCTACCTACACAGCGAAGGGGGGAAGACCAACTACACATGAAAATGATTTCAAATATCACATTTTTCTCTTTATCTGCGCTTGTACTTCTGAACTTGGTAGGATCCAAACCCGTGTCCAACCTGCAGGTAAGTTTGTGCATCATGCGCCAAACTTTCGATCATTACATTTTTGCAGTTCTTCTTATTCCACCAATTCCCATAGATATATGTTTATTGTAATTGATGGAAGACTGTTTCAAGTGGCTTTAAGTGACATTGCGACTAATGATTCCATGTTTTCTCTCAATTAGAGCTTGAAACAGCTTCTGGAGGAGGAGAGTAATGTACCATATTACGTGTCGGAGGAGAGGGAGGTGGGTGGAAGAGAGTTAAATACAGAGAAGGCAGCCTTCACTGCGGGAGTGATGGGTCCATTGAACTCCGAAGATGCAAGGAATTCCGCGCTGGCGGGAAAGGAGGATGCAATTGCGCGTCTTCTCAACTACATTATGAAGACCTCCAAGCAACCGTGGAGCCGATTCAAGAAGGGTGGACTGAGAAGCTGCTTCGGCGTCAGGCTAGAACGAATTGGGTCATTCAGCGGGCTTGGATGCTAATAGACAGGTATGGTTATCCACTGCGTCAATCCAACCGATGGATTCGCCATTTAAATTGTAGGCTATGTTGGTGTTTAATTGATATTAACATGTCACTTGTTTGAACCATCAAATACATGCAATAATGTTTCTCAAGACCGGCTCCATGTTTTGTGTTGTTTCTACAGGTTTTAGTGGCTGTTGATCAGAGCACAAGAAACGACCCTTACTTGAACTCTTCGACAAGGATGAACCTCTTCAACTCAGAAAGTATTGACTGAGAGTTTACAATGGCGTTTGTGATTAGATTTATTTAAATGTGTGGTTTGCATTTGGCATATTGAATTGTTCTCATTTTAGAACTGTACAGACGCATTTTAATTTTCAAATGAACAGCAAACATTTGGCTCTTGCTATAATATATTATTGTTGTAAGCTATGTATTTATCTAGGTCTATTTATTTAAATAACGTGTATACTTAGATACAGTAGCTTGTACTCCGGCGAAATAAATATTTTGCACAATAAGTTACTCTCTTATTTTTACAATCTTTGTCTGGCATAACGAGACTTAGAGCCTTCACTTGCTTGAGTGAGGAGAGTGTATGTTTCTGATAATAAGTTCTCATAGGCTTATCTCTCGAATAACATCCCTAATGGTTGATTTTGATATGATGTTGATACTGCTGAGTGAGTTACTAAACATTAGGCTATGCGAGGTTGCAACCCACATATTGTGGGGTATAGCCGAAAAAGCGGCCTTGCGCTATCTCCAAATAGTCAAATAGAACTAGTACAGAGTATCCACCACACCAGCCAGCTAATATGTCCTTCTTGGCAATAATAAATACATTTTTATAGCCAAAATCCTCATAACTCCCACCATATGTCATTTTTATTTTAAGGTGTTACACATAGGATTTTTGTAGAATTTTGCATTGTAATTTCAGAAAATGTCCATAATATATCTGGCGCTAATAGTGGAATGATAGTGTTTCACAGTATTACTTACCCGCCAGTGTTGTGATTGGCTGTGATATTCGCCTCTTGATTTCTCCCGCGAAAGCCCCATCTGTTGTCAAACTGTGAAAGCGGTTCTGACTTTGTAGATGTGTTATCTAGTGGAAATCGCTCATTTCCCGGTTGCAAAATGTTTTACACTGCTCACTTAATTTCTATGTGAGAAAATAAGCACTGAATAGTGCAGGGAATCATTGTACCATTTAAATATTTTCAATAAAACTAAAATATCGTTTTTACATCTGTTTTAAGTTGTTTGAAGCTGGTGGACCAAAACCGAAAGTAACTTTTGTTTTGGTCCATCAGCTTCAAAGCTGTAAAAACAATATTTTGTTGTTGGTGAAAATATATTTTATAGCGAGTTAGATGGTACAATGATTCTCTACACTATTCAGTGCTTGTTTTCTCACATAAACTTAAATTGAACAGTTTAGAATTTTAGAAACCAGGAACAATTTCCACTAGATAACACATCCACAAAGTCAGAACCGCTTTCCTAGTCCGGTAGGAGAAATCAATAGGCCAATCACAACACTGGCAAGTAAGTAATACTGTGAAACACTATCATTCCACTATTAGTGCCAGATATACAGAGTGTACATTACAAAACATTAAGAACACCTTCCTAATATTGAGTTGCACCCGTCCTTTTTCCCTCAGAACAGCCTCAATTCGTAGGGGCATGGACAAGGTGTTGAAATGCTTCCCACAGTTGTGTCAAGTTGGCTGAATGTCCTTTGGGTGGTGGACCATTCTTGATACACACGGGAAACTGTTGAGCATGAAAAACCCAGCAGCGTTGCAGTTCTCGAGACAAACAGGTGTGCCTGGTACCTACTACCATACCCTGTTCAAAGGCACTTCAATCTTTCGTCTTGCCCATTCACCCTCTGAATGGCACACATACACAATCCATGTCTCAATTGTCTCAAGGCTTAAAAAGGTATTGTGTACATACAAAGAGCACAATACAATACATAGAAAACAATCACAATGGTCAACAACATTTCCTCTATCAGAGCTTGAAACTCAACAAGTGATACCATATATCGATGAGTAGCCTATCACAACCTCCTCCTCATCATCCTTCACCTACTCTTCTTCATCGTCCCTCATCCTCTTCCTCCTCTCATCCCCAAAGACAAACTAAAAACACGACACCAAATAGTTAGGCTACAATTGATTCTAGAGCGCATAAGTATCTCCAGTCCAAATAATGGTCCAAACGAAATCTTATCTTAAAAGGATGTCGGTCAGGGCGCCGCACACAACCAGGCTCCCTTATCACTCACTGTCAAGGCAACGGAATGTCAAGCTGAATTCTGTCATAACATGCAGTCCTTCATAAGTAGGCCTACTGTCCAAAGCACGGGGCTCTATATAAAAAGGGGACTTAGTCATCCCGTCATTAAAACACTGAACGGGACACCTCAAAAAGACCACAGGGGGATCGTTATTGGAATGGCGAAATTGCATATTTTCCTTGGATATATCGTATTAATAACGACACACAGTGTAAGCTGTGGAACTCCGTATGCCAGTCGGAATGTTCAAGAGTTGGAAAATCTGAAGGTAAGACACCTTACTACAGTAAGAACCAGCTCAGAAACATAAAATAGAAAATCAAGTAAATTGATGTTCTTAGAATTATTTAATTTCTGTAGATTTATAACAACTTTTAACTGTTGACACAACACATATATTCTATGAGCATCTATAAGTTCTATTGAAATCACCTTTCAAAGTAATGTGTTATGACTATGACATTAATACGTGCCATTTGTTCACTTATAGAACCTGATCCAGCGGCTCGAGGACAAGCTGACCGTTAACGAGGAAAATTACGCTTATCCATCGGAGTCTGAGGAGGTGGACACAGCCGAGATGGAGGACATTGAGAACTCGCCCGCGGTGATCCGGGGGCAGGAGGAGAGAATGATCATGAACGCACCCAACAGAATTGCCCCCGAAAGCCCTGTGGTGTCACGCCTGAAAGATCTCATCGGTTTGACGAGGACGGCCAAATCGTTCAACAGCTGTTTCGGTAACCGGATTGAGAGAATCGGCTCATGGAGCGGACTGGGGTGCAATAACGTCAAGACTGGTACATATTTTATGGCAATAACTTGAGTGGAATGTCTTTAAAAACCTTACAAATCTGCTCAAGAATGTAGTAGGCTACGATGTCACTTTGGCTGCATTTAGACAGTCAGCCCTAATCTTGTTTCCAGTAATTGGTCTTTTGACCACTCACATCAGATCTTTTCACATCAGATCTTTTTCAGAGCTGATCTGATTCAAATCAAATTGCCAATTAGTTAAAAAAAAAAGATCAGAATTGGGCTACCTGTCTAAACATAGCCTTTGTGTGGAAAAAGTACATAGGGCCTAATTTTATATTATTTTCATTTGTATTTGCAGGTAACAAGAAGAGAATATTTGGGAACTGAAGAACAATGTAGGCTACCCATTCATGGACGTCACGAAACTGCGTCATGTCTGACGTCTGTGGAAATCTCCCTCCCATTATGGAGAATGCATTTTTTTCATTCAAATAATGTATTTATTTGATAAACTAACATATATTAAATCATTTTGATATTAAAACATACACAATTCAATCTCTTTATTTCAGTGTTGGTTTGTTTCTAGACTTGGTCAGTGAGAATTAGACATATGCATATTTGATTTCTACTACGAAAAAGGAATATATGATTGCTAATGGCACTCTCCAGAAATAGCCAATATTACGTATTTGTTATGTTGGACGCCTGTACAGTATTGTTCACTTATGTGTATAAAATTGATATATATATGTTTGATGATGTTGTGAGATGGTATCATTTGTAATAAACTATTAGATATAGAACACTTTGCTTTCTTGTCATCAACATATATTTATTATGAATTCAAGACATTATAGCCTACCAGTTGTCACATTAGGCTAGTTGTCACAGAGAGAGAAAGATAATGAGAGAAATTCAAGTTGTACTGACAATGAACTACTGCAATTCAAATAGTTTATGGACTAAACCAGCGCTGCAATGCCAGCACATTAGGTCCAAATAATCGGAGGATCATTATATGAAAACTAATTATCAACAATATTTAGCATTCTTGCAGACAAGTAGTATGACACAGTTAACGAATGTGTTCCCATCATAAGCCCAACTATTGTCGTTGGACCAGTACATTGGAAAGGCTCCCATTGTTTATTGTAAAAAAAGAAAGTTATTGAAACTCTACAAAAGTCAATGTAAGTTCAGGAACAAGAATGTGGCAGATGCAGTAGCCTATATTCCACATCGATATAGCACGATTAAAACATTTGACAGACTGCCAACTTTAAAATCTATATGGCAGGTCTGTAGAGAGGGCCCAGCACACCCCCCACCTTAGACACACACACAGGCTAAATTATGTCTAAACCAGTGGAGGCTCCTCAGAGGAGGAAGGGGAGGTCCATCCCACTCAGTGAATTTCATAAAAATAGGGAAACATTAAAAAAGTTATCCTTTTTAGATAAAACTATACTAAATATATTCACATTCACATTTTAGTCATTAAGCAGACGCTCTTAATTGATATGTTGGATTCACGTCACCATCTCAACCAAAGTTATAGAATAGGATTACATCAAATCAAACTTTAAATGCACTATTAATAAAGTTTGATTTAGTCCTATTCTTCAACTTTGATTTTTGGTTGAGATGGATATGTGAATCCAACATATACATTTTTTATTTGTAGACAAACTGGAATTAAAGCCAGACTAAGTCAGTGGCACAAATGTTGATATGTGGTTGCATTGACAACCAAACACAATTCAATATCACTAAATATCATTACATTTCAACTCAACCAGAGCTTGAAATCCTAGGCCTATTGTATTGTCTATTTTTAGTTGAATTCTGCGTTGAATTCAAACAATTGATGTTGATTGATGACTTTGCAACTGCTATATAGGCCTAAATAGTATCATTGATGATTGATACATTTTGGTCACGTTTCATTTGCTCTGTTAAACCTACCCTTTGGAATGACTTTGATAGCAACAGTGACTCTATTTCGTTTTTAAGTGGATGTCTCTCAACAATCATTCTGAAAATAGCACATTGGTAATAGTCAGGGATAAATATCAAAGCTAAGCGGGCTTGGTTAAAACCTTGGATGGGATTCTCCAGTTGGAGGTGTTGCCCAGCCTATTGTTTTTGTTTCTGATAGTGGATAACGTTGAAAATCTGACATTGTCACGATACGTTGACAAATTCAATTGATATAACCAGTTTGTGCCCAGTGGGACGTAGTTTAGTGAGAACTTGATAATTACTTCATAATTAATATATCACCAATTTTAGAAGCCTAACATTAAACAAGGCGCGAGGTCTGTCCTCAATGCTAGGCAGCGGCCCACTGTTGGCAAGACCCGTATTAAGCCTGTGACTTTCAGTAGGCTACTCAATGTGAAAAATCTCTTACAATATGCAAGCCAATTTATGAACGTATGTTTCTAAACAAAGGATTGAACTGACTAGGTCATGGGTATGCCCCATTATCTAGGAAGACAACGCTTTAAAAGGAGTCATTTCCGACAGCTAGTGTTATCACAATCAGGTGTCGGCATGCAACTCCAATTCTTTGCATAACTGTGCGTGTCAGACTAGATATAAAAGACCCTGGGGTAGGTGTGTAGACACAACGACAATTGAACTGCAAGGAAAATAAGCTTCACACACAACTTCAATTTACACAACTTCAATTTCGCTGAAGAACAAAGAGAATAATGCAGCTCGCCAACATTCCTCTTTTTGGCCTTGTTCTCCTGTTCTTAAATATGCCGCTGAGCAGCGAGTATCCTGTCTACAACGGTTTACTGACCAATGATGACATGGAGGTCTTAAATGTGAGCCCCTTTTAGGCTATACAGCCTTATATCTGCCTTTGAGGGATGTCTTGTTCCGGAAATATCTAGTAGTTTATAATCCCTAGACGTTGAAGCCCAAGGGTATCATTAAAACTGTTTGTTCAAACGTGTTTTTGACATTGCAGGTACTTCTCCATCAACTTGAAAAGTCCTTTCCTGAGCGGAGTGAGGTCGAGCAAGTCTCCACAGAAAAGTTGGACGACGTCACTCCCGAAGACATGGCAATGGTTGCAGAGGATGAGAGAGAGCAACCACAAACAAGACTGGACAAAGCCGTCATAAGAGAGTTCCTCTCGGCTCGGGACCTGAAAACTGTCCGAAACGACTCAACATCAAAAAGATACTCAGGCTGCTTCGGGCGAAGGATGGACCGAATTGGCTCAATGAGCTCTCTTGGATGCACCACGGTTGGCAAATACAGTGAGTATAGTTCAGGTTTAGATGGTATAGGCTACTGTGCATCAGATACAATCTCTTAATCAAATAGTGTCCAAGTAGTTGACGCCAAAACAGTGTGGTAAAGTTGTCTGATATCCATTGTGAGAGTTCTAATGTTAAGAGACAAACTTATGTTGTCTAATGTCTTGTTTTCTCTATTTTCAGATGCAAAGAGAAGATGAAGTCTTACACATAACCTGGAACAGCAACGTCATTACTTACCAAAATGTATTCTTATTTATAGGCTACGTATTTATTTTATTATATTTATTGAACTTTGTTTATTGCCAATATATTTATTTGAACTGATGTAAGATGGTGTCATGGTGTACAATAAATGTTTACAACTGAGCACAAAACGTTGTTTTGGCTGGTTACTTTCATACGTCCATTTCGAAAAATAAATAGCAAATTACAGAATGCCTAAGTCATTATAAGCTCAGGCTGAATATTCAATGAGGAAAATAATGAGATGTGAAATTTGCCTAAACCTTGGGATCACATTCATAGATCTATCATGCGCCAAATTGAGTCAGGTGCAGCAGGTACACCTGCTCATTGAACATCTTATTCCAAAATCATGTAGTTGGTCCCCCCTTTGCTACTATAACAGCCTCCACTCTTCTGGGAAGGCTTTCCACTAGATGTTGGAACATTGCTGCGGGGACTTGCTTCCATTCAGCCACAAGACCATTAGTGAGGTCGGGCACTGATGTTGGGCGATTAGGCCTGGTTCGCAGTCGGCATTCCAATTCATCCCAAAGGTGTTCAATGGGGTTGAAGTCAGGGCTCTGTGCAGGCCAGTCAAGTTCTTCCACACCAATCTCGACAAACCATTTCTTTATTGTGCATGGGTGCATTGTCATGCTGAAACAGAAAGGGCCTTCCCCAAACTGTTGCCACAAAGTTGGAAGCACAGAATCGTATAGAATGTCATTGTATGCTGTAGCGTTAAGATTTCCCTTCACTGGAACTAAGGGGCCTAGCCCGAACCATGAAAAACAGCCCCTGACCATTATTCCTCCTCCACCAAACTTTACAGTTGGCACTATGCATTCAGGCAGGTAGCGTTCTCCTGGCATCCGCCAAACCCAGATTTGTCTGTCGGACTGCCAGATGGTGAAGCGTGATTCATCACTCCAGAGAACACGTTTCCTCTGCTCCAGAGTCCAATGGCAGCGAGCTTTACACCACTCCAGCCGATGCTTGGCATTGCGCATGGTGATCTTAGGCTTGTGTGCGGCTGCTCGGCCATGGAAATCCATTGTGATTGTGCTGACGTTGCTTCCAGAGGCAGTTTGGAACTCGGTAGTGAGTGTTGCAACCGAGGAAAGACGATTTTTACGCGCTAGGCACTTCAGCACTTGGCAGTCCCATTCTGCGCGCTTGTGTATCCTACCACTTCGCGGCTGAGCCATTGTTGCTCCTAGACTTCCCACTTTACAATAACAGCCTTTACAGTTGATTGGGGCAGCTCTAGCAGGGCAGAAATGTTACGAACTGGAAAGGTGGCATCCTATGACGGTGCCATGTTGAAAGTCACTGAGCACTTCAGTAAGGCCATTCTACTGCCAATATTTGTCTATGGAGATTGCATGGTTGTGTGCTCAATTTAATACACATGTCAGCAACGGGTGTGACTGAAATAGCCAAATCCACTTATTTGAAGGGGTGTCCACATACTGTTGTATATATAGTGTATTTTAGACGTATAACTTTATATGGTTCAATGATTACATGAATTACAATGTCGACATTTACATTTACATTTTAGTCATTTAGCAGACGCTCTTATACACCAACCCTGGACTCTGCCCAGTTCAGACCTTCTGGAAACGCACACTTCATCTTAACATTGTACCAAGTGGTGTGGGTCATCATTACTGATAACCTGACCCGTGTTTAGTTATGCTGTCCAGTGATAAGGCAGTGTTATGTTTTAGGAATGAATGACGTATTTTTACAGTAATGTCAAAAATTCTAATCATTTTATGAGTCATGAGGGTTATCGATTTGAATAGGACATGAGATATGGTCTTGCCTTCTAATATGGAGTCTTATATGGAGCACCCAAGACTGTCATCCATCTATCAGCCAATGTCCAACAAGTCACCTTAACAGATCATTCACATGCTTTACGGTAATACTGTTTGAAGGGGCTGGAAACTTTTTACATAACTTGATTTATTCACAAGTACCCTATTTATTATTGATGAGTGACTCAAATACCACCACTCAAGGTGAATCAAGTCATTATGGCCTCTCAAAGGCCTCTCTCTCTCTCTTTTGGGCCATGCAAGATGATTGGAAAACTCCAAGAGAAAACTCCATGAAGGGGGTCCACACACTCAAATTAAGATACTTTTTTTGGCCTACTATATATAGAGCAGCAGAACATGCTTTTAACCCACTGTGGTATATTTAGGGTTTGGAGAGAGCGGATGTATTCCCGGCAAAGCACGGCATGTCTGAGTTCAGGCCCCAAAGACCTACCATGAGTATCCTCTCACTCACACACACACACACACATCAGCCACCACCCAGCCACCACTTAAAATTACATTTTACCAGCAGCCTTATCAGACAGAGGTGACGGAATGCACTTCAGACAATCCACAAAATGATGAGCCACTGACACCAGACCGTCTCCTCTGTATGTGTGTGCGCCTGTGTTGTGTGTCTATTTAAGAGAATGCCTGGCTAACAACCTGCCTTAGCACTAACAAACCACAGCCTAAATGGAATCAGGCATGGCGAGGACGGCCGTCTCATGGGGACTTCTGCTCCTGCTTTGTCAACAGACGCTGGTGGCGGCCCATGTGTTGGGCAGACCCTACCCTGCTAGCGACTTGGCCCAATTGAAGGTAGGTAGTTACTAGTCCTCTCAGTTGATGTAGGTAGAGTACACGGATTTATTGTCCCTAGGAGGAATTGATAATAAAGTTGTGTTGGATTGAATTGATGGATAGTTGACTTAGAGTTGTTTGGCAACTTTTGTGATGTAATAACAGCTAGTCAGAAAGAAAATGTCTGACCTAATATGCGCTTTTCAAAACTGTCTTTTGTGTACAATATTTACAGTTATATTGGAAGGAAGGTTTTTTGTATTTGAGGATAAATAATATTATTTTTGTACAGCCTTTATGTCAATGGATTAAGGAACCTGTTTGTCTGTGATAGATGGCTCTAACAGTGCCCAGGATACTGTAACTAAATCAAGTAATGAAACATCATGACATGTCCACATGAATTCCCTGTTCTACAGAATCTACTGGAGCGATTCGAGGAGACCTTGGCTGCAGTGGCCACAGCAGAGGACCCTGCAGTGGACTACGAGGGCCCCAACCCAGAGCCTGAACATAGTCAGGCTAGCCCAGAGTGGGACAGGGCCCCAGAGGCCCCACAGAGGCCTCTACTCTCAGACGTCCGGGAGCTAGCTGCAGACGAGAGCTACAGCAGGGCCCAGAGTCAAAGGAGCCGGCTGCAGGACCTGCTCATGGCCACCAGGAGTAAAGCTGTGTCCGGGTGCTTCGGAGCCAGGATGGACCGCATCGGGACCTCGAGCGGGCCTAGGCTGCAGTCCTAAAAGACGTAGCTAGTCAGTTGATGTATATACGTTACACAGAAAAACATATGTAGGTTATGTCAACTTAGTTGATTATAAGACACATGTTGATACAACTTAAGGCCCAGTGCAGTCAAACATTTTATTTTCCAGCGCTTTATATATATTTTCACACTGAGGTTGGAATAATACTCTGAAATTATGAAAATTATGATAATGCCCCTTTAGTGTAAGAGCTGTTTGAAAATACCGCCTGAAATTTCAGCCTGTTTTAGTGGGATGGAGTTTTAGCCTTCCATGGTAACACCACCATGCGATAAATTGGTTAATATACCAATGAGAGAGTTCCGAACCTCTGTCAATAACAGCACATTTTCAGTTTTCCCCTCCCCACTCAGTCCACTCCCAGACAGTCCCAGCTAAATTCTTGCTTGAGAAATTAATCTTTGCTAAGAAGCAATTTTTGTTTATTTTTTACCATTTTAATTTAAAACAGAAATGATTTGATATCGAGATAAAAACGGCGGCATTGGCCCTTTAACAATTGAAGTCATGGTAACAAGTTTTAAGTCTTGAATCTCTCCTCATAACTTGTGATACTATTATGACACATGCGGTTGTCAGAGGCATCAAGCCCATAGGGGGGCACAAGGGCACATGACCCCTTAAGATATGTCCTGTTTTTTTTATTTTTCACATGTCAAATCACTCAACTTTATTTTGAAGCCGACGATTTATCATAATATATATATTTTTTAATCTGTCAGCTCTATTTTGCAGAGGGCCACATTGACTGGAGAGTACCCTCCCCAGGATGCTAGATACTCTAGTCTAATGCATGCAGACAGTATCGTCAGTGGAGGAGGAGAGAGAGTGTAGAGTGACACACAGCGTTTGATTTGATTTTAGCTGCTGGTGATGGGCAGGACTAGCACGAGGTATGTTTTGTAAATGAATTTGATCAAGTTATGTATGTAGCCAATTGATTCCTTCTTGATGAATAAAATAAATGTAAAAAAGGTGTTGTTTCTCTGTAATAGTAGCCACCTATCAATTTTATGAAGTTGTCTTTAGCTAGCCAGCTAGATAAGTTCCAACTCTCATAACTAGCTACAAAGCCATTTCAGGCTATCAACCAAGTTAGAGTAGCTTGTCTGACTACAGTGGGGAGAACAAGTATTTGATACACTGGCGATTTTGCATGTAGAGGTCTGTAATTTTTATCATAGGTACACTTCAACTGTGAGAGACAGAATCTAAAACAAAAATCCAGAAAATCACATTGTATGATTTTTAAGTAATTAATTTGCATTTTATTGCATGACATAAGTATTTGATACATCAGAAAAGCAAAATGTAATATTTGGTACAGAAACCTTTGTTTGCAATTACAGAGATCATAAGTTTCCTGTAGGTCTTGACCAGGTTTGCACACACTGCAGCAGGGATTTTGGCCCACTCCTCCATACAGACCTTCTCCAGATCCTTCAGGTTTCAGGGCTGTCACTGGGCAATACGGACTTTCAGCTCCCTCCAAAGATTTTCTATTGGGTTCAGGTCTGGAGACTGGCTAGGCCACTCCAGGACCTTGAGATGCTTCTTACGGAGCCACTCCTTAGTTGCCCTGGCTGTGTGTTTCGGGTCGTTGTCATGCTGGAAGACCCAGCCACGACCCATCTTCAATGCTCTTACTGAGGGAAGGACGTTGTTGGCCAAGATCTCGCGAAAGATGGCCCCATCCATCCTCCCCTCAATACGGTGCAGTCGTCCTGTCCCCTTTGCAGAAAAGCATCCCCAAAGAATGATGTTTCCACCTCCATGCTTCACGGTTGGGATGGTGTTCTTGGGGTTGTACTCATCCTTCTTCATCCTCCAAACGCAGCGAGTGGAGTTTAGACCAAAAAGTTCTATTTTTGTCTCATCAGACCACATGACCTTCTCCCATTCCTCCTCTGGATCATCCAGATGGTCATTGGCAAACTTCAGATGGGCCTGGACATGCGCTAGCTTGAGCAGGAGGACCTTGCGTGCGCTGCAGGATTTTAATCCATGACGGCACAGTGTGTTACTAATGGTTTTCTTTGAGACTGTGGTCGCAGCTCTCTTCAGGTCATTGACCTGGTCCTGCCGTGTAGTTCTGGGCTGATCCCTCACCTTCCTCATGATCATTGATGCCCCACGAGGTGAGATCTTGCATGGAGCCCCAGACCGAGGGTGATTGACCGTCATCTTGAACTTCTTCCATTTTCTAATAATTACGCCAACAGTTGTTGCCTTCTCACCAAGCTGCTTGCCTATTGTCCTGTAGCCCATCCCAGCCTTGTGCAGGTCTACAATTATATCCCTGATGTCCTTACACAGCTCTCTGGTCTTGGCCATTGTGGAGAGGTTGGAGTCTGTTTGATTGAGTGTGTGGACAGGTGTCTTTTATACAGGTAACGAGTTCAAACAGGTGCAGTTAATACAGGTAATGAGTGGAGAACAGGAGGTCTTCTTAAAGAAAAACTAACAGGTCTGTGAGAGACGGAATTCTTACTGGTTGGTAGGTGATCAAATACTTATGTCATGCAATAAAATGCAAATTAATTACTTAAAAATCATACAATGTGATTTTCTGGATTTTTGTTTTAGATTCTGTCTCTCACAGTTGAAGTGTACCTATGATAAAAAATTACAGACCTCTACATGCTTTGTAAGTAGGAAAACCTGCAAAATCGGCAGTGTATCAAATACTTGTTCTCCCCACTGTATCTTAGCTGTCATGCCTGCTAAAGTTGCTACACTTTAGAAAATACAAAAATTGCTTTAATTATTGGGATATGATACTATATACCAGTGTGGCAGTTGTACTAAACTCCTAAGGCATAAAAGTTCTAAAGAATAAATGTGCATCATTATGAATTAAAATGACAATTGAACAGGTAAAGAGGTATGCTTAATAGATTGAGGGAGGTGTTTCAAAAATGCAAAATTCTCTGGCTTAAGGAGGGCCCCCTCCAGAACACCTCCCTCAATTAGAGCTGGCCGATATATCAAATTAATTCTAAGTAACGTTTTTCGCGCAATATTCCAAATGTCTGTATGCTAGAATTACGTTTATTTTTTATTTTTATGTCCGCTTGTTCTCATGTTGTCTGTTTGGTCTCATCTCCTTAGCTCCCTCTGTACTGTGTGCACCTTCCCATTTACACCAGAGATCTGTATATAATCACGAGATGCTCCTGTCTCCGCCCTAACAATGGGAGTTGTTGTCCCAAAGGCGGGAAGGCAGGCAACAAGCTTAGGTCCAAAATAAGCCCATAGAAACGCATTGGGCTTATTTTTGACAGGAACTCTGGTTTACACACACACACACACACACACCAAGCCCCTCCCCCTTCCACTCACAACATCAAAGGTGAGATCGCTTCTTCCTCTCTGACAAGCGGTTTCAACTCGCTATTTGCATTTGACGTTTGGTCCAACAGAATCGGTCATATGGACAATGAAACACATTGAGACATTATTTTACTGTAATAGAGAAGTTAACCTTTTTATGTCTCAACTACTCACATTGCGCGCAAAGCAGACACTACTAAAACAAGAGTATCAATGAACATTGATTCTGGAAAATGAATGCTCAGTTTGTTGTGCGCGGCATTGCGGTGACAAGTACTGTTAGCAGAATTTTTGCCCAAGACTCCAGGCCAGCCCCCTCATTAGGCAGGATTTACAGACGCACCTCCAACAACCCATACAACCTCATAATTCTGACAATTTCTCTCAACCAGTGGCATATGGGCTTTTTAAGGTGCAGTAGCGGTGCATGGGTAAAATCACTGGGGAAGCCAGTGTGCGTGTGTGCATGCGTGTTTGTGCAAGTAGAAAAACATGTTGACTCACCCTATTTGTAGAGAAACGGCAATGCCATCCTCCTCTCTTTCATGTTGACGAAACAGTCTATCACTCTGTCATATAGTACACGCTTTAATTTTTTGTTTTCCTAGGCTACCTGGCTAAAACGCTTGCTCGCTAGCCTAATATCCATTCATGGGCAATGTTACCTAGTTAACATTAGCCTTCTACATCTAGCTACATATTGAACTTCCATCCTCTCAGGCCAGGGGCATAACAATGTATGAATTAATGGTTGGATCAGAATCGCTGTTGTAATCATTGGCCAGTACGGAGAATTAAGTAAAACCACAAGTCCAAATCCCTATCTCCATCCATGGCTAATTTATGAAAGGGACCATTTTAGCTAGCTAGCTAGCTAGCCACCGGAGGCCAACAACACAACGAACGAGATGCAACAATTCAAGTTTTTCTGTCAATGACCTATGCTTTCAATGGGATTTGATGGAAGTGACGCCAAAATCCAAGCTGGCTTCCCTTGACACTTTTTTTTCTTCCCCAAGGCCCTCATTACATCCTAAAACACCTTTCTAGGCAGCGGTGAAGTGAGCTAATAAGATCCTAACACCCTGTCATTTACAGTAGGGCATTCCTACAAGGAGTCTGTAGTTCCTTCAGACATGAGATGCATCTCAATGAGGTTGCTCTCATATCTTTGCTGGCCTACGAACACAGAGTAAAGGAGAGCAATATGGTGAATGCCAACCACAACAATGGCTTTTCACACTACTGAGCTGAACTGAGCCGCGCAAAACAAAGCTGTCCTGAGATGGCCTGGTCTGTGAAATGTCATTATAATTCATTTCAATATTTTGTATGTGCCACAACTCTGCGATATTCTAAAAACCAACCATTGGTGACTTAAGAGTCTCCCTATAGCAGGGTTCCCCAAATGGCGGCCCGCGGTTTTATTTGGCCCCCAAAGTTTGGTAAAAACACCAGGAAATCAGCTCCAACTGATTTATATTTGAGAAATCTGTTCACAAGTATTTCCATGCATAATAGAGACACGTGATCATATACAAATGCAAGCAAGGTTTGAAATTATTATGTTTTAGTCAAATATTATATCTGTTTGGCCTTCTTGTGGTCAATTTGCAGTCTACAAATTATTTGTAATTATGTTCCGGCCCCCCCGACCATCCGCTCAAGAAAAAAAAAATTGGCCCGCGGCTGAATCTAGTTGATGATCCCTGCCCTATAGCCTACAATGATCGTTAGAGAAAGCACTGAGGTGGCTACAGTATGAGACAACACCAGGAAATAGTAAAAATCTGTATAACAGCCACTTCGATACACGAAGACAA